TGTGTGTGTGTGTGTGTGTGTGTGTGTGTGTGTGTGTTTGACACTACACACTATATAGCCTATAAATTACAGTTTTGAACATCTAAAACTGTGTGTAAAAAAATATATATTAGATATTGTTCTAATTTGTAATTTATATGTCAATTAATTAAAAAAATTAAACCAAACTAACTTTAAAGGCGTTTTTCCTAATTTACATGTGAACCATCGCATTTACAGTGCCCTCTAGACTCTAGAGGGAGTGCTATATTCGTCTGTGGACTCGATATGATTTTAGTAATGGCCCATATTTAAAATGAATCACATTGACATTTTCTCATTCTAGTTGCATAGAAATCAGTTTATTATCTTACTACAAAGCTCCTCTACCCGTGTAATCATGGTAATTATCTTTCCCAGTGCTGAGACGTGTCAGTCTATCAGTCTATCTGCATGATCTGCAAATGAGGACTGAATGAGTCAATGGGATATAAAACAACATGTTAAGAACAGGTTTAGGGGTAACAATATAGAGCGATTATAAGTCTTGAGACAGAATGAAGTCCAACTGGTTATGAAGCCAGAAAACAATCAGTAAACTCTTATTAGATATTAGTTTCACGATGAAGTCAGCGTTCAAGGTTAAGTCAGAAGAGTGTACAGTCAGCCAATTATTTTACAAAATAATTTCAACCCCAATTAATATTTGATGTCCATATATCCTGTCATTAACCATTAACCAACCTGTATTCCACCAAGAAGAAATAATCCAAAGCAATCGGTCTAAAAACAAGACGAACACTGCAATAATACTATAGTAATATTAATACTTAGTAATTTTTTGCCACTGTTTTGATGAAAGCATATATGTTATTATTTTGATTGAAAAAATCAGGGACAAATATTGCTCAGATATTGGACTCGCCCCCTGTACACCCCTGTTTTCCGGCCCTCAAAAGAAACTAGTTGAAGTGCCCCAGTTTAAAGGGTCTGAGTATTATGGACAGGAACACAGTCTGTTGAGTACGCTCTTATGAAACATGTATTTGCACATATTTGATTTTTATATTCAGTACTCTTTGTCTGACAGTAATACTGAAAGTGAGAATTTCTCTGATTCTCTGTAGTAAGAAATGGTGCTATTCACGCCGAATTTAATACCAACTGGTTAGATTCAAATCAGGAAGTTCAAAAATATTCTGATCTGTCTGGTCTAATCTAATCTTAGTTCCTTAATTTTTCTCACCTTTTCGCTCAGGACAAGGTAAAGCCTGTGAAGGTCTCTAAGAAGCCAGAGGCTGCAGGAGAGGAAGGAGAGCAGGTGCTGAGTGAAGGAGCAGAGGAAGACCATGGCTCTGAAGAGGAAGTTGAGGTTGAGGAGATCATAAAGGAATCTCGTGCTGAGCGCATCAAACGCAGTGGCCTCCAGAAGGTGGACAAGCTGAAGATAGCCTTCAGCAAGGAGCAGATGGAGAAGACCAAACAGAAAACCAAGGAGAACCTGGAGAAAACCCGACTGAGAACTAAAGAGAACCTGGAGAAGACACGTCAGAGAACCCGCGAGAACCTTGAGAATACCAAGAAGAGCCTGGGCAAGAAGATGGGTAAGCTAGGAACAAAGATGACGCCTAACACTGAACGCCGTGAGAAGATCCGTAGCTCCAGAGAGAAGAGAAGATCCAAATCAACCACCTACCGCGTACCGCCCTTCACCTTCCACGTCAAGAAGGTCCGTGAGGGTGAGATGGAACCCACACCAGAACCTGAGGAAGAGGAAGAGGAGAAGCAGGTGGAGCAGAATGAGGAGGTCCAAGAGGGTCTTGCAGCGCAGGAAGGAGGTCTAGTGTCAAGGGTGGAGGAAGGTGAACTGGTCAATCTTGACAGCCCTGAGATGGAGGCCTTACTAGAGGCAGCTGATCAATCACGGCTGGCGTTCCAGGAGACGGTGAGGCCGAGGGAGAAGGCCGGCCAGTAAGTCCAACATGCTGAGCCCTGGGAAAAATAATGTGGAGGTCTGGAGATAAATAAAGCTAAAAGGATGTAGGGAACTGAGATGTGCGTGAGGAACGGAATAAAGAGCAAATGAATGGAGTCGACTGGACCTTTGGCTGAACATTTTGTTTGTGTGTTTGTTTGTTGCTTATTATCCTCTCAACCCCAAGGTTGCATTTTTTTCATTTTGTTTTGTTCAATTGTCAATTTTTAAATTGACTAATGGTCAATTTTGTGTCGAGAACTGAATATTATTAAAAAAAGATCAAATAATTTTTAATTTGATAACCAAGACTTAATCTACATCTAAAAATTTTCATAAACACTTTCATGGCATGTTGTTCCTATTAGACATTTAATATTAACTTATTCATTTGTAATCAAGGCTACCCGGTTGTGGCCAGATATTGCCTATATATATTTATATTAAAGTGCCTATATTTAATGAACACCTTGTGTTCTTTGTACTATCATGTGATGTCTGCTAATTTCAACAGTATAAATTAAAAGCAGGCTCTACGCATCTTGTAGAACATCTGGGCTTTGTTTTAATGCCATGAATGAACCGTTGGAAACTTTAAGGTGCTAGAGAGTATGTTGTCTGTTGGAAATATTGTCGTGAGGGAAAGTGAATTGAAAAATATTCTAATTAAAGTGAAATGAAAACAAAATGGAAAGAAACAACTACAAATAACTACTGACTGAACTTTTTTCTTTTGAAACTGATGGTTTTAATAATGACGTGGATTCTGATGAGTTGTTTTGTGGTGTAAACACTGACTTGAATGTAATCCAAGCTCCAAAGGTTTTAAATGCTTCACTCTCTGACTCAGACTTTATGTAAATTAATTGCTTCAATTGACATCTAGAGATGGCGTAATGTGATCTTTGATCTATATATGTAAACAAGAAGCTCTTAAAAACCTGTAAGATCAAGCAGAATATCAGTCTCTGAAAAACTTTTCAGAATTCAGTTTTAATTCATTTTGAGGTAAATTCTTTGGACTGTTTACCTTGTTTGTACATATACACTTTAACATGTTCAAAGTAAGGCTATTACATATACACACACGAATACAGTATTAGGTGAACAGGGACCTACTCAATGGAAAAGTAATGCTGATATAATAGTCATTTTGTATTCCAGCTTACTGAAGTAAAGAGAAATACAGTACATCATAGTTGTATCCTATTTGAGTATTCAGCTCGATCACTGATCTTTCACTGTACTTTAAGTGCATTCATATCAAATAATTGGCCCGCATTATTGCATATAGCTTGAATAGACTAATTTTACAAACGATACACTCACTGAAAAAACAAAACATTTTGTATCATGCTATTTATGATCTGGTATTATGAAAATGTCCAGTTGTTGCAGTGTTCATGGCACACATGGGCAATAGTCTTCTAGGTGTGAAGGTCTGAATGAAGCTGCTTATGGCTCTGCTGCTATCCTTGTGAGATTTGTGGCTGTATAAATGGATTTTAGGTGTAGGTTGATTTTAATAAACAAATAAAAGTGTCCACCTTTGTGCTGTGAGACCTGAGGCTTGAGGCTTGATTTATTTATTTATTTATTTATTTTTTTTAATAAACCAAAATGATACAATATTTAATTCTTTTTTAAAGAGCCTCTCTCTCTCTCTCTCTCTCTCTCTCTCTATATATATATATCATTCTTTGTATCTACTGACCTATTTACAGCTATCAGAGAGAGCAGAAGCTGCACACTGTAGATCATTAGCGCCCGTACAGTAGTGAAAAGTAACATTGTGGTGAACAGACATGGACCACTGACTGATAGTTCAGACACACACACAGCAATATCAAGCTGTACCAGCAAGGAATCTGCAGTCCGATGTGGACATTTTCTTTCAAATTCAGTGCTAAGTCTTGAAACATGAAAATATGTCTATATCGTATATAAATTTGGACATGGCGTTACTAAAAATAATGCAGTATTCATCCAGAGAGTGTCATTATATGACAATCAAGGTAGTCCATTAGGTTAAAGGTGCACTAAACAATATTTGAAAAACGCTTTTGACCACAGTGTCGGACCAAGTCCCAAAACACACTTGCTGCCAGGCCTGGAATCGGACACTTGGAGTTTTTTTTTTTTAATTATACTAAAAGACCTTGCTGAAAAAGTATGACCTATCAATCACATCAAGCAGAAGGAATGTAGTAGACTATGTACAGTACAACATGTTTGTACATATGTATATCATGTTGATCATTTATAGACCTTAAAATTTGCATATACAGTAGGCTTTATAGGGTTAAATAGTAAAATCAAAGTGTAACTTTCAAAACTAAGAAACTTCCAACTTCCTCCCTAGTCCAAAAAGAGCATTTATTGAAACTAAGCAGTTCATTTTCAATGAGACATGAGTTACAGTGACAAATGCACAGCAAACAGAAGGATAACTACAAGTCTGAATACAGCTGGACACTGCAGGCAAACAGATTTAGGCGATGTCCGCATGAATGCCCATTAAGGGCCAATTTTTGGCAGGAATATGCCTTACTAACTTTGGACCGCAGAGTAAAAACAAATACTAAAACATATATGATTTGACCCCACTTAAAATAGGCATTTAAAGGTTTTGAAAATAAAAACAATTAAAAAGTGCCTTTGGTACAGATAGTAAACCTTATTAAACACATGTTACATGAGGTCAGTTATATAATGCAGGTTTTCTCGTATCTTAAGACCAGAGATGAATACATTTATAAATAAATCCATAATTTAACTTTAAAGTTTTAAAAGCACCCAAATACATTCTTTATAATGTAATGAATTATACGCAAAAAATGAAAGCTTGTTTTCTAAAGTTAGATGTGCCATGTTTGGACAGGAATAAGGCATAATGCATTACTATACAGGCTGCTCTCTGTTTATGCTGTTTTTTCCTCTGCTTCTCCCTCATGTTCTCTCTGTCTGTTCTTGGTGGTGTTGTGTTGGTCGTAGAGGGAATACATTAAATAATCAATGCGAGGAATCTGATTAAGCAGAGTGCTTTTCCAAATGGGGGGCAGAAGACAGCAGAAGAAAAAGAAATATATATAAGAATATATATATGTGTGTGTGTGTGTGTGTTTGTGTGTGTGTGTGATGTAGCTTTTTACATTATGTAAAGAGTATATTAACTTTATTTTACAATGTTTTATTTATTAACACCTCTGATAAGATTAACTTTCTTTCTTGATATCTTAATGATGGAACAGATATTAAAAGTTATCACTCAAATAGACAGCAGTCTCTTTGGATATACAGTGGGTACGGAAAGTATTCAGACCCCCTTAAACCAAAAAGACTCATGGCTGTATTAGATCAAAAGGGTGCTTCTACTAAATACTGAGCAAAGGGTCTGAATACTTAGGACCATGTGATATTTCAGTTTTTCTTTTTTAATAAATCTGCAAAAATGTCAACGATTCTGTGTTTTTCTGTCAATATGGGGTGCTGTGTGTACATTAATGAGGAAAAAAAATTAACTTAAATGATTTTAGCAAATGGCTGCAATATAACAAAGAGTGAAAAATTTAAGGGGGTCTGAATACTTTCCGTACCCACTGTATATCAGATATGTCGATATTGTTCATTACACGAAAACTGTTTGCAATATGAACAATATATGAGATGCAGTATGGATTGGTCTCTGTACCACACAAACACACTGCTGCACATCTGTGTTTTCCATCCGTGTCTCAGAAGAACAGGTGGTTGTGTGTTTACAGAAAGAACAAACTAGAACCCACTGAGCTGATGTTTATCCGCATTTTCTCTATACTGTTTAAGCTGTGTGTGAACTTCCTATGTGGAGACAAAAATACGTGAGGCTTGTAGTGACAGGGAAGTTTGTGTGCATGAGTTTTGTTTTGTATTAATAAATAAAACTATTAAATATGGGGTGCATACATTGGTTATTAATCATATGTGTGACTTTCCAAATTACTTCACTTAGCCATATTATGAAGTCATACATTTCGTATAGGTGTAAATGCAAATTTAAATCATTCATATTTTGTTCCTGAGTACTCATTCTTATGAGTACTCATTCTTACATTCTTATTATTCCTATATGAGTTTGTATTATGGCCTCTTTCCATCATCCAGCACAAACTATATCACTTTATCAATCTGTACAAAATATGCGCAAATAAATGTCTCATTTTTGCACGTATTCCGCTGTGTAGAAAAGTGCATGTAAATAAACAGATGACGGGTGAGATGTGACTTAAATGAGGATGTTTAAAATGTAAGTCATTGTAGACTAACCAGATCAAATGAATGTTTGGGGATTTTATTTGCACCAGTGTGACATCTGGCATCTGTGCCGAGGAGCGAGAAATGACAGGAAATACATGTTCATTATTTCCTTGTTCTTTATTCTGCTTCCATCATCATTGTCGTCTTCTTCAATGGTTAACATAACATAACAACTTTGTATTTCTAAAATAAAAATTGAGGAAGTGCTATATTTAGTGAGCAACAGGCCTATTTGCAGCAGGTCTCTTGAGCCTCTGAGATCTTTAACAGAACTGCGCAAAAGTGTAAAAAGTATTTTGTTAAAGATATAGCTCATACAACAATGTAAATTCTGTCATTATTTAGTGAAAGAGTGAAATGTTCACATTATTCACTGTATATGTTTTTATATTCTTAACCCAAGTGAGATTTTAACTTAAGAACAAACAGACACAGGATCTTTTCACAGTAAAAGCATGTTCATGAGACCTTAATTTCAGTATTAATGCAACACATGTGATGTGTAATTTCCAGAATCATTTCTTGACACATCATCAGATATGAATGTGTTTTGTCAACATCAGTTTCTGTTTGGCATTAAAGACAGCACTGAGAGACCAGATGTGAAGGGAGAAGAAAAAACAACAAACAACCAAGAGCCTACTGGACTTGGACTGGAACTTCTGGACTGTGGAAAACATCGTTTGATGTTTACTTAGAAGCCCCTGTCTTAAATGCAAACAGAAGTAAATATAACCTGGTAACACCCAGTTCTTATACACTTCAAGGAAATATGTTTGGAAGGGTCTGTTTAATAATAATATTAATAATAATAAAATCATATCTGATAATGGTACGAGTTAAAGATTATTTTGCAGCAATCAAAGACAAAGTTAGGTTGAAATGTGAGAAAAACAGATTAACCTTATTTTGATACAAGCACATCAGAGCTGCTCAATCATGACTCAATTTGTAGGTGAACCCAGGGTTTCCTTTGGGAATTTCAGAGGGTTTTAAAAAAATATTTTTTTTGATTTCTGAGTAAGAAAGGACTGTGGTTAACGTTACTTGAAGAGACTTTCGTTTTGTTCTATAAATTATACAGTCTCACCTGAAACATGAATTTTGAAACCACTGTTATACTAAAAACCCATTAGAAATTCCTATAGGAACCCATAACTGTACTGTAAAACAGCTGATACTATTTCTGGTTTTGGGGCTAAAAACTGAACATCTCTAGTTACAAAACTATAGCCAGTCACTTTATTAATATTTGTTTGCTAAGCCATATTTTTTTCTAAAATGATTGCATTTGCAGCAATAAATGTTTTCAGTTTCATAAATAAATAAATAAATAAATCGTTTTGATATTTAATTATTCAATATGTAATTATTTGTTTATGCTTTGCTGTTATTTTATGTTTGTAACAGTTTTCCAGCACTTTTGGTCCATTTTTTTTAATGGTTTTGAAAGGGCTTTATAAATAATATTTGAGCTGAGTTGAAAGTCTCTATTTTTTTTTTTTAATAAATAAAATGAAACGCACTTTGCGTTATATTGTGTTTTATATAGTGAAAATATTCATTTAGTTTCGCTGTGTGATTTGTGGCCAGTGGCACACTTAACGTACAGTGTTATAAAAAAAGGATCGAAATGATTAGAGCAAACGTCACAACAGTACACTTTTACATCCACTGAATTAAAAGTTGAGATGACGTAGGTACTGCCAGTAATTCAGATGACTTCCAGGCTTGCTGTTCTAGAAACTCGCCCTCCCCCCGCCGTGCTCGGTCTCAGAACAGCACGTTACGAGGGAGGACAGAGCAGTCGGAACAGCCTGCCGAGCCAGGGCAATAAACACAGGCGAACTCTAGCGCGCTTGTTCTATGTCCCGCCTCCTTTGCGTCGTTCGAGTTCAGCGATTGGACAAAATCCTGATCTCGTCCGTGAGAGCGTCAAAGTCCTGTCAATCAATGAGAAACTGGAAACGTGCAGCCCTTTTTCGCATAGACCACTGTAGCTTGCGTGTTTGTAGTGACGGAAAAGTTGGAAAAGATCTTTTTAGAAAAGCGTATAAACTCTTAAACGGTAGTTAATAAAGTCAATAACGTGTTGACTGTGCTTATATCGGCGGGGGACATTTTCTCAGAAACCTTGAACGACACATAGAGGGGTAAGTTGTCCAGCCACGTCGCTTTGTAAGGCAGTGAAGAAAGGCACTTAGGCGCAGTTCTGTGGTTGTTTCTCTGTGAAGATTGTACATGAGTTACAGTGTCAGATGATGGT